GACCCCGGGCGGGCGGACAGGCCTAGCTAGCTGTGCGCCCTGCCGGGTCCCCGCGCCCGCGCTGGCCCTCACCAAGGAGCAGGCGTTGGCATCTTACAGCCCCGGCGGGACCCGGCTGGCGCTCCCAGACCCGCGCCAGCTCTCCCTCGGGGTTTCTAGGTGACGCGCACTCCCCGAAACCCCGAGCTCTCTCTCAGCTAGACCCCTGCGGTGAGGGCGGGTAGCCTCAGCTTGGGGTTCTGCGTCCTGGGGCTCAGTAGACTCAGGTATTCACCCCTGCCGCTCCGGGTGAGGCGAGGCTTGGCCAAGCAAGCGCTTCATCATTCTCCCGGGCCTGGGCGCCGGTGTGCCCTCTTCCTCTCTGGTCCTCGCGTGCCCTCTAGACGGAGGGAAACCAGGCACCCGATTACTTCAGCCGCCAGGAGTGGAGCACAGGGTCTTTGAAGGATGGGGGCTAGTTCTGAGTGTGCAATTGCGCGGGGTTGGCGTGGCGCCAAGCACTCCCGGGTTCACCTGCAGTTTAATAAGCAGGAGGTGAGCTGGGGGGGACCGCCGGCTCGGGGAAAGGTTAGGGGTGGAGGGGGGAGACTTGCCAGGCTAGCCAGCACGGGCGCTGCCCTGCGCGGGGAGGGGGCCAGATAGCGGCTTCTGGGCTCAGGCAGGGGGGCTCAGGCAGGGGGCTGGCCTCCCTGCTTTGGCCTCCAGTCGCCCCCTGGCTCTGGCTTCAGCTTCCCCATGGAAGCATCTTGTTTCTCCTCTCCCAGCTCTCTCCCCGAGGGCACTCTGGACTTCTGGAAAGAAATTCACATACACATAGACAGAGGGAGGCACCACTATTGGCCACGTGGTGCCCTTCCCTCACTCCACATCTGGGTTCCTCTTCCCGGGTCATTTCTGGCTGGTCTTGGCCTCAGGGACTAGCTAAATAGGACCCCCTGGGGCTACTCTTGGTACTCTGTGGGCAGCCAGCCCCGGGTCTGAGTCTTTCTCCCAGTCTCTCTGCTGTGGGTTGACCAAGGTGCAGTCATGCTTACTCAGGGCACTGTCTCCTAGTCATGCCTCAACTGCCATGGTGTTTTTTTTTTTCCCAAAGATTTATTTATTTGTGCATACAGAACTGGGGTACAGGCCAGAGGTGCAGGGGTGGTGAGAGGGTTCACCAGAGACAGAGTGGGGAGCAGAACAGGCTGACTGATGAAGTACACTGTTGAGGGGAGCAGCAGGCAGGTCAGGAGAGGTCTGCTGTGCCATGTGGGTCAACTCCCGGGCGGGGATCGAACTCATGCTGAAGTGGCTTTAGCTTCTTAGTGCTGTGCTTTAACCCGCTGCGCCGCCAGGGAGGACCCAATGGTGTTAGTTTAAAGATGCATTCTGCCATGGTTAAAATTCAGGGACAGCTTCCATGATACAGCCATCTAATTGTCCTGACGTCTTCCCTGAGGTGGCTTGGACTGAGGAACTGGGAGAGGAGGAAGAAGAGAGGGTGACTGAGGGCCTGGAGTGGAAAGCTTGGGAAGGTATTGGAGGGGGTCTGCAGCCTAGGGGGAGTGGCCATGAGAGGGCCACCCAGTCAGGAGGAAAATCCACAGGAGGCCCCCAGGCCAGTGGCCAGACTGACCGCTTTACCCAGCTGAGGGATAGCTGTGCCAGTCGTGCTAAGGAACTTCGATCGATCCCTAGCTCTTGGTTCTGAGGCCCTGCAGGGTGGGTGCCTGAGGATGTGGGTGCTGAGAGAACATCTGCTAGTGGGAGGGGTTTCATTGTGAGCATAAGAGAACCCCCCCAGCTCACAGCCTGACTGGGTTGGAGAAACGGGCTGCTTTGGGCTGGACTTGGGTACTGGAGTGAGGGATGTTGAGCAGTCAAGGAGAGGCTTAATGGCAGGGAGGGGAGGAGAATCACACACTGGGTTCTAGTTTAACTATTAGCTTCCCCGTGGCCCAGACCATTGGGAAGGGAGGCAAAGAGGGGCCTGAGGTCCTGAACAAGCCACACTCCCAGCCCAGGGGAAGTCAGCAATGGGCCAGGAGCTTCTAGCCTCTGCTCTCCAAGGCCCTGGCTCTGTCTTCTGCAACTCCCTTTTCTAGTCATCCTCTGGGGAGTCTTGGTTTTATGCCTTGGTCTCTAAACTTAGGGAATGTGGTGACACTCAGGCATAGACACAGGCTAGCACATCCTAGGATGTGGCATCACCTGAGGTCACCCAATAAATTAGTCAAGTCATGCCAAGTCCTTGCTGTCTGTCAGACACTGTTCTTTAACACTTTGTATTGTGATATTCTTGAACAATCTCCATGATGTAGATCCCATTACCCTCCCATTACAAATGAAGCCAAGAGAGGATGGGTCACCTGCAGTGGGTCCCACAGCTATAGAACCAGAACTGAAACAATTTCGGCTGATTTTCGAAACTGTTCAACGCCCTGCTGTGCTGCCTCTCCAGTTGCGAGGCCACCAAGGTTTAATTTTGTGCCCAGCGGTGAGCTGTGCAATGGGGAAGTGTACGCCAAAAGAGGAAACTGACTTACACACACACACACACACACACACACACACACAAACCTCGGCCCATGTTTGTGCAAATGTGTGGCCATTCAATGTCACCCCTAAATGTTCCCACATGCACTCAACTCTGCCTCTCTCAGCCCAGGCACAAACGCACTCATAGAATATTTGCACAGAGCCAATAGGGACCAGACCTCTCTGCTTTCCTCTTTCTTTGACTAGAAGGGGTGAGTGGGCGGGGCTCAAGTGTCTCTAACTCCTCCTAGTTCCCACTGCCTCTGAATCCTGTCTCCTCCACACTCCTGCCCTCCAAACCTCCTCCCCCAGCCCCTGCCTGGCCGTTGGCTGCGGCCTGTAGCAGCAGCTGACTCCACTTAGATGCTGGCAGTCCCTGTCTCAGATCAAAGGCAGGGCGGCTAATTGTGCGTCTTAACGAGCACACCCCCCATGCTCCGGGCAGCCCAGCTGGCCATGGCCCCACCCTCTCCCCCTCCAGCTGGCCAGATGGCACAGTGCCTGCGTCTGCCCCAGACAGTCGGGGCCAGGACCGAAACTGGGGCCCTGAATGGGAGTTGGGGGCAGACCCAATGGGCTGGGCTTCTCTGAGGCCTGGATGCTTGGATCAGAAGGTGACCACATAAGCTCTGCCTGATCACCTCTGCGCGCGACTGTGACAGCTTCCAGAGGCCAAGGGCGGTATCTGGCCACTGTGGGTAGGTAGGGGTGTCTGTAAGCTGTATACTACATTTCTCCAGATTCCTCCTGACCCACCTTAAATGTAACAGAGCCTGGAAAATGGTGGTTCCCAACATATCCCCTTGGATCAGCCTCTTTCTCTTTCCTGATGACAAACATAGATGGGGTTATAGGATCTGAGAACTGGGATACATAGACTCCTTTTTTAGCAGCAGGACTTCTCAAAAGCCAAATGTGCCAGCAGGTCTGGGAGCCACGAACACTGCAGCTGGGTCTATCTCTACAACCCCTGTGAACTTGGGCTTCCCCCTTTTGCAAATTGTGAATGTGTGTGTTAGAGGGTGATTTCTGAGGCCTGGACTGCTTCTGGAGGTCTGAGTATTCCCATCTGTACTAGGAGTGGGCTGATGACTCCCCCAACAACCAGAGAAGTGCTGAGTCCCACAGATAAAAGGCAAGGAATAAATATAGGGTGTGCTCCCCAATGACTTGGGTCTGCCCTCCTTTCCCTTGGGCCCCACCTCCCAGAGCATTGCTTACTCCTCTGCAGCTCCCACCAACTCCCAGCATTCCCTTAGAAGGTTCTAGCCCAATCCTCATTACTTCCTATTTGCTCATAGGTGAGTTCTTATGGAAAAGATGCCTTGAACAGTAAAGAGAAGACAGAGAGGGACCCTCTGCTTGATGGGCTTCTGGTAGCCCAGATGATTTCTTCCAGAGTGGGTCATGAGCTGCAGAGTTTGCTCTCTGATTGGGGTAACAAGAAGTAATGGCCTGAAACTGCAACAGTAGTGTGTGAGGTCAGACAACCGGAAGAACATCTCAATAATAGCTAGTGTTTTGTGGAGTACTTACTGTGAATAAGGTATTATTCTAAGCATTTTAAATTTACTAACGCCTTTAATTTTTGGAATGACATCAAGGGGATAATAATTGCCCCCTATTTTTTTTTACACATGAAAAAACTGAGGCACAGAGAGCCCAAGTCACTGGTCCAATGTGACATAACTATTAACAGTAGGTTAGTAGAAGAGCCAAGATTTGAACCCAGGCAATCTGGCACCAGAGTTCATCCTCTTAACCACAAAACATTTAGGGTGGGGAGGACAGGGGAAGCTGGATAGGGAGAAGACAGAGACCTGTGATATAGAGTTAGGCAAGACTTAGAAGTAGGATTGGACAAGGGTCTCTATCCAGTCCTAGTTGACTCAGGGTTCTGGAAGTCCTCTAAGTATATATGCACTCATATCTTTGATGCTGGACTGGAGGAACCCAGAGTTATTATAGCCCCCTAAATCGCTGGCCTTCTCCAAGCCACCTCTGGTCAGGTTCTGGACTTCCTGCAGGTGGATTCCCCTTCTCACATAGTGGCTAATATTGTCCTTGACTTCTCCCACTGTCCACAGTCTGCCTGGGCCAGAGAGTAGTTTGAGACTTGTACTAAAGCCTGCTCCCAGTTAATCTTTTGTCAGATGCAGAATGAGGGGGCATCACAGGGAGGTAATTATAGGGCAGAGAGCTTTAAGGGAGACCATCTCCTCTTACCCTTTTTGCCCATTAACACTTTCTGAGACCTGGGATTTCACCACTGGTCATTTAGACTACATTTTGCCTTCTTCAGTCTGATTTTATATTTTCATTCTAATTTGCATTCTTTCCTGTCTTCTACCAACTTTAGGCTTTGTTTATTTTTCTTTTTCAAGTTGCTTTAGTTGTAAGATTAAGTTACTTATTTTGCGATTTTTATTTTTTAGTGTAGACCTGTACTGCAATTACTTCCCTGTTAGTAGTGCTTTTGTTGCAACCCATAGGATCTGATAACTTGTATCTTCATATTTATTTGTTTCCTATTTTAAAATTTCTGCCTTAATTTCTTCATAGATGCAATGATTATTCAGAAAGGAGAGTGTTGCTTAATCTCTACATTGGGGTTTTCCAGTTTTCTTTTTTGTGCTTGATTCTAGTTTTACAGATGCAGATCTACTTTTAAATTGCAAATATATGAGAAGAGATTAAGCCTTCAGTCTTATAAAGAATGTGATCAGTTTCTTTCTGTCCAACAGGAAAGACACAAGTTGTACAGCCACTGAGCTTGCTAAGAGTGATGTTAATGAAATGGGGAAGGGAGTGCAAAAAAAGAGAGGGCGGGTGGGAGGCAGTCCCCCCACCCCTCCCATATCCTGTGTGCAGAACTTCTGGTATGATTTCTGTTCCCCTTTCACTCTTTGTTCTGATACCCAGCTTTCCCCAAACACTAGACCTCCATGTGGTAAAAGGATGGGCTATGGACACCCCTGAGAGACTGCTTCTTGAATTTCTGTCCACAGGTTTCCGAGAGAGTGCCTTTGCCTACGCAATTGCGGCAGCAGGGGTGGTGCATGCAGTGTCCAACGCGTGTGCCTTGGGCAAACTGAGGGCCTGCGGCTGCGATGCTTCCAGGCGAGGGGATGAGGAAGCCTTTCGTAGAAAGCTGCACCGCCTGCAGTTGGACGCGCTGCAGCGTGGTAAGGGCCTCAGCCACGGGGTCCCAGAGCACCCAGCTCTGCCCCCGGCCAGCCCTGGCCTGCAGGACTCCTGGGAGTGGGGCGGCTGCAGCCCTGACGTGGGCTTCGGGGAGCGCTTCTCTAAGGACTTTCTGGACTCCAGGGAGCCTCACAGAGACATCCATGCACGCATGAGGCTCCACAACAACCGAGTTGGGAGGCAGGTGAGCGTCCTACTCCCCGGGCTTGCTCCAAACCCCTCTGCCTAAGGCCCTTCCCCTCTCCTGGCCTGTCTTTCCTCTTAGGGACCACTTCCCTTAACTCAGCAGCTTTCTCTTTGCTCCTTCCTATTTCAGTCAGCAAATACTCTGTGCCCCAGGCCTGGCAGAAGACCTGGAGATGCATGATGAAGGAACCCCTGCTCTGTATAGTTCACTTTCTGTGGAACAATCTGCTTTTCCCACTTCCTCCTTTAGCCCTGGGACAGAACAGCATGTTGTCATCCCTCCAGCGGTGCTTAGGACTGTGCTACTCTGTCTCCTTCCCTATAAAGCAAGGTGGTTGAATTGTTGAATTGAATCTAGAAACACCTTTCCCACATTTCCTGACCCCTCTCTAGTGTTAATGTTCCAGGATTCTGCGCTGCCACCCCAGCCCTCTCAGCCTTTCTGGACAAAATGAAAGGGGTGGTTCCTTGGGGTCACTGTGTACTGTGTTACAGTAGCCTCCCTCTTTTCTCCTGTACCCTCAAATGTGCATACTATCTCCAAGGTCAGTCATTAAAAAAAAAAAGGAGAAGAAAGAAATAATAGCCTGCACTTATTGATTGAATGCTGATGTGAGTCAGGCACTGTCTCCTGGAGCACTTTACTGCACATTGGCCTGGTTATTCCTTACAACTATGTCAGCGAGTGCTATAAATAAAGCTCGTGTTAACATGTGGAAACTGAGGCCAAAGAAGCTCACCCAAGGTGATACAACTAGTGAGAAAGGGGCAGAGCTGGATCTGCGCCCAGAAGGTGGAGCTCCAGCACCCCTCCTCTGCTTACTACACTTGTATTAAGAGCAGGGGCACTGCAGTGCCTCCTTAGCCTAATGGTAGCTCAGCACCGCCCTCTTCCTGCCCACCCCATCCTTTCTGCGTGGCTCTGTCCAGCCTGCTCAGGTCCTGCTCCTGCCCTCTCTCAGCCTGCCTGGCCCCTTCCCCATCACACTCCCCTTCCTCCTAGCCACTCCACTCAGGCTGTTTCTCCCTCTTCCACAGAGATTCCGAGCTGATCCAGCTCTTCCCATCCTGACTTAGACATGAGGGAAACTGAGGCATTTTCACCCTAAGGTCAGGTCCAGCTTCCGCCCAGCCCTGCCCTGTCCATGTAGCTCTTTTCCCAAGCTTCGATACTATCCCAGCCCCAACCAACAGTGCCTCCTCCTCCTCATTAAACTGGTTAATTAATGGCTACTGCCTGTGGGAAGCAGATGTTCTGGAGCAGTTGGCCAGAGGCGGCCTTGACTGGTTCCCACGTGGTGCTGACACCGCAGGCTGCACATACCAGCTGTGGAACCCTGTGAGATGTGAGGGGCAGGGTCCCTCTGTGTGGCCCTCTGCCCAGGTATGAGGGTCCAGAGCATGTTGCTCACGATGCTGTTTTCTGGAGTGGAGAGGGGGAAGGGAGAATGTGGCGAGCTGCTGCTGGAGTCTCTGCTGAGGAGACAGCCAAGGGTTCTCTGGGGGGAGAGCTAGAACCCCCACCCCCAGCGATGGTGGTGGGTGGGCCCTGTTCCTGTGATTACCCACCACTCTTGGAGGCCTGGGAAACTCCATCTTCTTTACACAGAGGTCTGGCTCTCTGGGCTCCATATTCCTTCTGCGTCCAGGTAGAGCCTTTGACCCTAGCTGGTGCTCACCTTTTCCTAGGAGGAGCTGTGACACTCAGCTTAAAGCAGGATAAGTCCCTGTCCGCATAATGAGGGTGGGGTGGGGTGGGGAGGAAGGAGTCTCTCCCCTCCAAGCTCCTTGCAACCAGCCCCAGGGCCTTAGGAGGAAAGGGACTTTTTCAGAATCCCCTAAGCCTCCATTCACAGCTTGGAGCAAGGCTTTGGGACTCGGAGGTAGTGGGGCTGGCTCCCCCCTGCTCCTGACCCCCACCTGAGGCATGGAAGGAGAGGGAATTTCCCTGAGGATCTGGGATCCCCCTCAGGAAGCAAGAGCCTCCAGCCTCAAGGGGCCCCTGCAGCTGCTGGAAAAGGCGGCTGGAGAGGAGGGGATCCGGAAGGAGGGGATTCCCCCCGGGCCTGGCCTGGGAGGTACGGGGGGGGGGTGGGGGGGCGCAGAAAGCGGGCAGAGCTCTCCCGAGTGGCCGGCTAGGCTCAGGAGCGGCAGCGCCTGGCTTGGGCCTCAACCCTTGCCTCTGTTCAACGGGAGTCGGTTCCCGAGCCCCTGCGACTTGGCACCGGCCGGTGTCTGCGCTGGGAGGAGGGCTGTGGGCTTGGCCGCGGCCGTCACCCTCACCGTGCCTCCCTCCGCAGGCGGTGATGGAGAACATGCGGCGGAAGTGCAAGTGCCACGGCACGTCAGGCAGCTGCCAGCTCAAGACCTGCTGGCAGGTGACGCCGGAGTTCCGCGCGGTGGGGGCGCAGCTGCGCAGCCGTTTCCACCGCGCCACGCTCATCCGGCCGCACAACCGCAACGGCGGCCAGCTGGACCCAGGCCCTGCGGGCGCACCCTCGCCAGCGCCCGGCGTCCCGGGGCCGCGCCGCCGCGCCAGCCCCGCCGACCTGGTCTACTTCGAGAAGTCGCCGGACTTCTGCGAGCGCGAACCGCGCCTGGACTCGGCCGGCACCGTGGGCCGCCTGTGCAACAAGAGCAGCGCGGGCCCCGACGGCTGCGGGAGCATGTGCTGCGGCCGCGGCCACAACATCCTGCGGCAGACGCGCAGCGAGCGCTGCCACTGTCGCTTCCACTGGTGCTGCTTCGTGGTCTGCGAGGAGTGCCGCATCACCGAGTGGGTCAGCGTCTGCAAGTGACGCGCGGGCGCCCCTCCGGGAGCCTGGCCGCGCCCCGCGCGGGCATCCGGGCCGGGCAGCGTCCCTAGGGCTCCAGGAGAGGAGGTCGGACCACGGGATCTTGCGGGAACTTCCCAGTTCTAAGGGGTCGTCAACGCTGCAGTCACGGCACAGTCCACACCTGCCTGGACCCCAACATTTACTTCTGTGGGCTCCCTGCCCCAAGCTCAGACAGCTCATCTGGGCGGGGATTGCCTGGGAGGCCTGTTTCCTTGCGGCCCTTCCTTCACCCACCCCCTGGAGTGGGAGAGACGGTGGGAAGCTGATGGATGGGCAGGGGAGGAGGACTTGAAAAAGGAAAGGGACATAACGCAGCTGAGGCAGTGAGACCCCAGACATGCTCCCCTCGTTGGTCTCTGCCCCTCATCTTTCATTTAACAAGTATTTATTTTGCACTCTTTGTGACCTGGTACTTTGCAGGGAATGAGGGGTGTTGGGAATAAGATGTGAATAAGAGACACAGCACCTGCCCTCTTGGAGTTTACATTCTGGCTGGGGGAGATGGACAATAAACTAGAAAATATACAAAGGAATCATTTCAGACAATGTTATCTGCTGTGCAGTTCAAGGCGCTGGGCTGAGAGTGATGCACGGGAGTGGAGCCTTTAAGCAAAGCCACAGCTGGGAGGTTTCCAGAGTTGTGAAACTCATCCTGGGAGCACAAGGAGAGTTGAACCAGATTGATGGTGATGGTTTCCAGGCTGAAGTCGTGTGAAGGCAGAAACTCTGAGGCTGGAGAGGTCTCTCCCTAGAGAGGCCAGTGGGATTGGAATGAAATCAAGGGGCTCGTTAGAAGGGGAGGTCCTGGGGAGAAGGGAGGGTCAGGTCACACCGTGTCCTTCCAGGCCAACGTAAGGAGGTGGGATTTTATTTAAGGGGCCAGGGATCCTCAGAGGGTCTTGAGCAGGCCAATGTCATGTTCTGATTCCTAGATACATTGCCCGCTGGTAAACCCAATGTAGGGGGAAAGAAGCGGACAGCAGGGAGCAGTGGGGGGACTAAAGCTGTCCTCTCAAAAAAGAGAGGGTCCTGGGCTGGAGGAACACAGCGGGGATGTGGACATCGTGCTGGGTCAGGGGAGACCCTTGATGCCAGAGCTCTAGCCATCCTCCTGTGACTGAGCCCTCTGCCACAAGCCAGGACCGGTGAAGGTGCCCAGCAGCACCCGTCAGCAGAGACAGGAGGCACTCTGAGAGGAGTAATCCTGGGCAAGACCCAGCTCAACCCAGCCAGCCCAGCGCCCCGGGGAGCAGGTGGGGCTAGGAGGTGCGGCCAGGGAGGAGGGTGGCGGGGGAGGGCCAGGAGACTCACTGTCTGGATTCTGGTCTCTCGTCCAGGCAGGGGAGGTGGGGTATGCACGACTAGGGGTGGGGGACATTCTTCCTGCCCCTCTTATGCCCCCAGCCCCCAGCTCATGGCGCCCCTTAGCAGGTTACTAAGCCTCCCCTCCCCCGACAAGAACATTGCTGAGCTGGCAGTTTGGGCCAGTCTTGCATTCTCCTTGGCGCTCAGATCTCATGTTTTTCTGGAACAGACCCTCAAGGAGGAGGGCGGTGGAGGAGGAGGTGAGGTCAGGATCTGGGGAAAGAACACTTCACCTACTTCATCCAGGCCTCCCGCTGCTGCTCAGAGCTGTAGACCCTGTGCCTGACTCAGTTTACCCCAGAATGGCCCTCTTCTTGATGAGCCAGACGAGGACTAAGTCATACTCCTTTCCCAAAATGCCCACTTGCACTAACCCCCCATTTTGCCATACCCTTTCCCATGGCTTCCTACCCCCGGGTAGGGGTGAGAAGGCTTCTGGGTGATACACTCCACACAGAGCACCAGCTGGGAGACTTGCCCCCACAGCTAGCCCTCCTCCGAGCCAGCATCCCAGCTTCAGGGCTTCCTTGGAGGACAGCGTTTCTTTCCCCATCCCCCCAAAGAGAGCCCCAAAGGCAGGCTGGTGAGAGTCCCTCGGGGAGGAGGGGTAGGCTGGAGCAGCCAGACACACCTGCCTCATTCCTTTCCTCTTGTTCACCTAGGAGAGAGCTGTGGGGGCTGGGCTCCCAGCCCCCTTCCTCCCTCCCATCCCAGAAAGGAAGAGGGAAGGGATGTGTGGAGGGAGGAGTGGAGGCTTGGGGGGCACTGCCACCCCCAGCAGCGCCCATTACAACATTAGTTTTGGACTCCCCCTCCTCTGCCTTCCGAGCTTAAGGAGGACAGTGCTGGGGGAGGAGAGACTGAAAGAGAGAGATATAGGATCAGTTGGGGCTAATGAGGTGAGAGCCCTAACACTGCAGAGCAAATGGCCTCTGGAGGGAGGGGTGGGCAACGGGGTGGGGCAGGAGGCTGGACATCAGGTTGGGGGGAGGGTCATGTTCCAATCAAGTCCAGTCAGGATGATCTGCTACCCGCTAGCGGAAACTGTGAAGGCTGAGAGAAAAAGTTGGACCTACCCTCATCCTCTCTGGGCCAGACGCTGGCTAGAAACTGGGGACCAAAGCTGGACCCCACAACTGAAAAGGGGTGTGTGGACTTGGTAAGGTCCCTCAGGAGAGATGCAGATGTGATGAAGGGTGGAAAATGGGACAGGAATCAAGGTACTGGTTGGCAATGGGGACACCGGGCCGCCAAGCCAAAGCGGGAAGGTAGAGTTGGAGGGAAGAACTCACCGCCCGCTTGCAGAGGACCTGGGTTGAGATTTGGAAATGAGAACAGAAGGTAGACCAGAGATGACTCAGAGGCAGGAACCCTGCCTGGCCCCCCAGGACCTTTCACCTTAGACAGTGGGACACCTTCTGCAGGGGAGAACACTGGTGTGGTTCAGCAGGGCCTGGATAATTCCAGAGGAAGGAAGGGAGGGACTGATAGAATGAAGGTGGTGGACAGTGGAGCAGGCAGTGCTGTGGGGTTAAGGGTCAGGAGGAGGCAGCCAGACTGCTGAGGGGATCAGAACACAGACATCCTGCTTTGCAGTGATGGGGGTTGGGGGGAAGGGTCGGACAGAGAAGGAAGGAGGCTAAGGTGAAGGCCGGGGGCCTGTAAGAGGCCCCTATGGGTGAGAAACAAGGTCAGCTGCGCTGCCCTCTCCGCCTCGAATTAACGCGCCCCCTAGCTAGCCCCCAGCAGGGGGCCTTCCACTTTGGAGCTAGGCCAGGCTCTAGTCGCGTCCTCCCTTATCCCCTCCCACCCCCCCTTCTTATGTGGTTGCCGGCAGCTGCCTGCGGTCGCCCCAACCCCTGTGCTCAAGGCACGGGGACTTTCCAACAGGGGAAAAAATGACTTAATGAGAGTGGGAGCCGGGCGGGAGGGACAGGTCCCTGTAATCACTGCTCGGCTGTGGGGCCTGCGCGCCTCCGGGCCCTTCCCGGCTTCCTGCTGCCAGCGCCCCCCTCGGGCTCTGCCTGGGGAGGTGGACGAGCTGGAGACTGGAGATCCCTTTTCAGGTTCCAGATTCTCTGAAGCCATCTGGCTGTTTCCTAGCTTTGCGATGTGGATAAGCTGGGACGCCCCCATGAACCCGCCCTGGACCTTGCCCTTGAAGATGGGGGGCGGGTGGCAATCTCTCATTGGAGCCAGCGTCCTCTGCGGTGGATCTGAACGCGTGAAGGATCGTGAGGGAGCCCTTTGCCACTTCGCGGCTGCGCACTTAGAAACGCCCCCGGTTGCTGTGGTAACCAGGGCTGTAGAGGTGTGTCCGCAGGGCTGGGAGGCGCCCCCCCCCCCTCTAGCCGCCCGCGGGGCCAGGCCCCGCCGCTGCGGTGCGCGGGGGTGGGGGTGTGCCGTTACCATGGCAAGGGTGCGCAAGAAGGGCACATTCTTCCCCAGGGTGGGAGCGCCCTGGGGATACAAGAAGGGGGGGTACGGGGGCGGCAGAAAGGGAAGAGGGGAGGGTCAGAACGAGGGAGGAGTCTCGGACTTGCAGAACTGAGGCTCAGGGCTTGGGGTGGGGAGCTTGGAATCTGCCCCCTGCTTGGCTCTCGGGAGCCGGTCCACCTTCCGCACTCTCTCTGGGGTTCAACCCCTCCAACCCCAGCTTCCGGAGAAGGGATCCCAGACTACCGGTTCGAAAGTCTTTTTGCTCCCTCCACGGGCTGGCTCCCCGAGCTAAGTGTCCGTCCCCTTCCCCCTAAATGGAGTCGCAGTCCAGACTGCCACCCGAAGCCCTGCAATTACGCCCCTCGCCCTGCCCCAGCGCCGCCCGTGGGTCCTGCGCCAAGCAAGGCCTGCACCGCCAATTACAGCAGCGGCAGCAGCTGATTACCCCCGAGTCCGGGAAGCGGCCGGGGGTGGGCAGAGCCGGCAGGTCAAGTGGACGGGGTCCCTGGGGTTGTCCCCGGCCCAGGGTTCTTAATTGCTTTGGTTTTCCACCCTCTTGCCCAGCTTCTCCGCTTCAGACGACACGGGGACGCACTCCCTCCTTCTGGACCTGAGTCTCTCCCCCCTCAAATGCACACTGCCCCCGGGGCAGCAAGAGCACCGGGAGGCTCGCTGTGGGTGTGAAGTCGACAGCTCGAGAAGCCCGAAACCTTCGGGGCCGGCTCTCTTTCCCGCGCAGATAGTCACATGTGTCTCTCCTGGTCCAGGGCCCCAGCCCGGTGGACTCGGGTCTGTGTTGCTTAACAAGCCCCAGGGCCGCTGCCAGCCTGTCCCACACTTTTGTGGGGACCAGAAAACGGCGCCCCCTTTAGGCGGGAGGCTCACCCTGCTGCCCACCAGGAAAGGCAATTCGGGAGCCCTCAGACGGTGCGGTATTCTGCCATCACCCTTGCCGCCTGCCATCTCTTCTACGCTCTCTTCCCGCCTGCGGGTTAGCTCTGTCTCCCGCGGTCCAGCGGTCCACATCTGGCGGACAGCTGGGATCCGCCCACTGCAAACTGCTGTGGATGCAGCGCCCTCTGTTGGTGAGGAGCGGCAGCACGCCAATTTTCGGGCCTGGATCGCCCGACGCCAGACTGTCTCTTCCCAGTTTTGTGGTTTGGGTTCCGCCCATTTGGCGCCCCTTGGACACAACTCGCCCACTGCCTCGTGTAGCTCCCACATCCGACTCTTTAGGCCTTTTGTTTCCACCGGTCGCGGCCTCCCTGACCCTCTTTCCCCCTGTGTGCTTAAATCTTGGGCAACGTAGCTGTCCCCCTAACTCCCATCTTCTCTAGTATTTTAGAGCTACGTGGGCAAGTTCTCCAGCGCGATCTTTCTGCACCCAAAGTAAAAGTCCGAAAACGAGAACATGGTTACATAAGTCACTACCCATCTGTTCAACAGAATTCCTCGCAGTGTGCTTAAAAATGAGGTAGTTGAAGTGTAGTCACTGAGACAGTATGTGTGTGCAATACAAAAGAGCATAGGACAGGAACTCTCCCTTATTGCAA